AAATCCAAAACCAGTAGATGGAAAGAAATAACAAAAATTAGATAAGAAATAAATGAATCAGAGACTAAAAAAGAAACTATGAAAGATTCAAGAAAACAGTTGATTCTTTGAAAAAATGAACAAAATTGAGAGACCCCTAGTAAATTTGAGTAAGAGAAGAGAATCCACCCAAATAAATAATATCAGAGATGAAAAAGGATATATCACAACAGATGCAAGCAGAACTCAAGTATTATAAGGGAATATTTTAGAAGTCGCTAGGCCAATAAACTGGAGAATGTGGTAGAAATGGATACATTCTTAGATCATCAATATACCTAAACTGAACCAAGATATATAAACCAGTTAAATAGACCCATAACACACAATTAAATTGAAATAGCAATAAAAAACCTCCCATCCAAGAAAATCCCAGGACCTGATGAATTTACAGCTGAATTGTGTAAGTCTTTAAAGGAGAACACCAATATTCTTTGAACTCTTCAATGAAACAGAAAAGAAGGGATCATTACCAAACTCATTTTATAAAGCCTGCATTACACTCATTCCCAAAATACACAGGGACATCTCTAAAAAAGAGAATAATAGACCTATCTCTTTTAAGAAAACAGGTGCAAACTTCTCAATACAATTCTAGCTAACCGAATTCATCAACAAAAATCATACAGTATGATTTATTGGGATGCAATGCTGGTTCAACATGCGTAAATCAATAAATGTAATACAATACATCAAAAGAAGTAAGGACAAGAACCACACAATCTCAAATAAATGAAAAAAAACCTTTTGACAAGATCTAATACCCTTTTATGATAAAAGCTCTGGAGAAGCTAGGAATACATGGAACATTCTTTAATATAATAGAAGCTGTGTTGACAAACCTAGAGCCAACATTATAGTTAATTGTGAAAAACAAACAATTCTCTCTAAAATCAGAAACTGAACTGTATATTGGGAGCTGTTATGTCCATGGTAAATTTAGATAATTTGAAACAAGTTAATAAGGGAATCCTGTTATTAAGAGTGTTGATAGATACAAAACAGACCTTCAGAAAGTAAGCTGGGTATTGCATTGACCTAATGCAACTTAGAGATAATCTGTGAAGCAAGTATTACTACCAAGTTTATTAAGAGCACAGGAAAAATACTGCCAACATTTAGAAGCTTGGGATTCTACAACGAAACTGGTTTTTCATATCTAAATGCCATATTAATTTGGGCAGATTATGTACTAATTTATTCTCCTGTTATAAGGATGAAAGTATTTACATTATCAGCTGCTTGTACAGATTAAACAAATAGTATAGGCAAAATATTTAGCACATAATAGTGTAACATAAACAATCATATGCAAGGCAAAGTAATTATGATGACAAAATAAAGAATTTGGATTAATCTGTTTACAGCCACAAAGAAGGTAAGAAACAAAGGGGAATGAAAATTCAGTTATCTCAAGAAGTTATAAAAAGACAAGAGATAAACTTCTACAGCAGTATGCATATGTCAATACTGTATTATCTCTGTATTGTCTCTGGTTGGCTTGGAATGCATATTAATCTCAAGGCAGGTTACAAAAGAAAAACAATAATGCAATTATATAAAGCTGAAAAATTAAAATTAATCCAAGTATAAAGTGGGATGGAAAGAAGAGTCAGTCCTCAAAATATATAAACCTAGACTGTTTGACACAATTTATATCTGAAGTAATTGCAAACAGTCCAAGTTTTCATATTACTAGTTCTATAACCATAAGATAATTCCTCTTTGATTCAGAAGTTGAAAAACAGAATGGAAAATTTTGTTTTCAGTTTTTATCATTGGCAAATATACCATGTTGTAACAGTCTTACCTATTTTCTTTTTTTAATTTAATTTTTTTTTGTGAACATACTGTACAGAGGGGTTACAATTACATGGGCAGGATAATGCGTAATTTCTTATCAAGCATTGCAGCCTCCTCCTTTGTTTACCCTTCACATCCCTTCTCAGCCTCCCCCCACTTCCCCCCCCAGCCCACCAACGTTGTAAAGCTTGTTTTCGACCTGACAACTTCTACTTCTCATTGTTGCAACAGGTCCACCTGTATCCTTAAACGACTTGTTTTTCCCCATCTCCTCCACAAGTTATACTGACATCAAATATAGTGAAAGCAGGGGCTCAAATATAGTAAAAGCAGGGGTCTATTTTCTTTGCCAACAGCAATAACTGCTTTTTTAGTTTTCAATATTTTGTTTTTTTAAAATCACCAATCAGATACATACTTCTACCACTGTCATCACCACAGAAGCAAATATAGTTACCTATTATCTATAGGATGGATACAATTCTAAGCAGTGTAAATGTGATTAATTCCATTCATCCTTAAAACCACCCTATGAGATAACTATTTCTCTAATTTATAGATAAGGATACAGACAAAGCAATCAAATGACTTATCCAAGAATACCACTGAGTATCTGAATTGGGTCAGTGTCTTCATTGGTAAAGTCTCTTCTTGATTCAGTCAAGACACAAGGAAGAACAAATTGTCTTGAAGGTAAAAGAAACAAATGGTACAAGAACCTTGATGAGTCTGGGTCCAAAAAACAAAAACCAACCAAAAATCCCAGAATAGGCACTAACTATATATTGCATTACTTACAATTATGTATCAACAGTTTGGAAAGAAATACTGTACAGATTAAATTGAATACTACTTCAAATTTAAATGTACTCTGAATCTAAACAGAGGCTTGTCCAACATGCCATATTTTTATGCTTCCATTAACATTTCCAACTATTTTTCTGTTTTAGTTCCATCCAAATTAATATGGTTTCACTAAACTTTCACCACAAAACTAGAGTATGAAAGAGTAATGAAAAAAATGGCACCGGGTGCCAGTAGCTAATGTCTGTAATCCTAGCTACTCAAGAGGCTGAGATCTAAGGATCATGGTTCAAAGCCAACTGGGTCAGGAAAATCTCTGAGACTCTTATCTCTAATTAACCACCAAAAAACCAGAGTGGTGCTGTGGCTCAAGTGGTAGAGTACTAGCCTTGAACTGAAGAGCTGAGGACAGCACCCAGGCCCAGAGTTCAAGTCCTACGACTGACAAAAAAAAGAAAAAAAAAAAAAGAAAAAAAATGGCACCAGGTAAAAACAGCTCTTATATGCAGGTGGTTTATAGTTTGGGCAGATTTTGTATAAGGCAAAAGGTAAAATCTTTCAATTTACCTTCATGTACAAGGAAGAGTATGTGAAATAAGTGTTTATTATTAAACACCTCTTTTTCTCACCAAAAAAGACAGGAGGGAGTCATATTAAATGGATTAAATTCTATATTTTAAATATAAGTATAAAATACATTACTGGTATGTGTGAATCAATAAAGTGGAAAATATGTTAAGACTGAAAGCTAGAGTTTGGGGAACACTGGGAATTTGAGGTTCATCATATTGAGGAATCGTTCAATTCTGACTGGGCTGAATATAGTAGCACATTATTTGAGTATGCAATATACCATTTTGACCAAGAACTGTATAAAAAGTTCTTGAGTGTATTACACAGCCCAGGTGATGTAGAGAAGCTTTAAGACAGTCCTGAGATATGGAAAGTTGTGTTTAACTGCCATGCATTTTGAGCATTCATGTCTTTTCCTTAATGGAGTTCTCCTGGAACAACATACACATAGATACTATTGGTACTTCAAAAGCTTCCCCACCTGTTCAGCCATATAAGGGCCACAAAATCACCTGGTCCATGATGGGACACAGAAATACATGCTTCTTGTTGGCTGCTTGGCTTCTTGTTGCCTGTAATGATAAATTTTGTATGGCCTGGCGATGCTGTTATAAACATCCATGTAGAAAAGGTTCCCATCTCTGATTTAGAATAAAAATGATCTTGTCACTGGAACTAAACATTAACCATGAAAAATTATCAATAGTGTTTGAAAGCTTTGCGGGCTTTAACTCCTCAAACATTTTGAAATGTACAAGTAGTAGAGAATTAAAAGGAAACTTTACAGAGAGATGTTAAATTTTTTTCTCCCTTGAAAGAGGAATCCCCTAAGCCTCTTTCATTTGTTCTTTATTTCTGGAGACTGAATTAGGGGCAAGTGCCCTTAATTTAACTAGGTAAGTGCTTTTCATGGAGCTGCACCACTAGTGCCTAAGACAAGTTTACTTGGATAGCACACCCAATCTTTTTAAGCTACTTTAGAATTAAAAAAAATATAAAACAAACAAAAAAACCTGGGCAAATTCACTATAATTCAAAACAGCAGGTTTTATAGGGCAAAACTACCCATCTTTTACTCAGTTTTCAGAAGATGAAGTTAGGCATCTAGAATTATGAACAACAGGTATGTTAATATTCATTAACTAGATTGTTATAATTTATTGTCTGTAATTATGTACCAGGTAGTATATATTTGCATCAATCTCAGATTTCTTCATAAAACTAGTTTCCTCGTATAATGACAAATGTATCTAATTAATTATCCTCTGTCTTCATTTGGCCAGAGTTAAGGAAGTCTGGAGAAGGGCAGGATCATATGTAATAGTCGTTCTGCTTCCTTGCTGCTAGACAACCACTGCAGAACCCATTCCTGGTGACAGACTGACCTAGTGGGCAGGACAAAAACAACCAGCTGAGGTTTTTAAAAACCGTGAAAGCAAGAGATAACTTCTTTGCACGCGCACATGTGTGTGCATGTGTGTGCCAGTACTCAGGCCCTCTTGATCTGGCTGAGGTTTTTTTCTCACTATTAGCAATCTACCAGTTGAGCTACACCGCCATTTCTGGCTTCTTGCTTCCTAAGAGAGTCTCAATGATTTCTCTGCTCCATCTGGCTCCTAACTGTGATCATCAAATCTCAACCTCAGAGTAGCTAGGCTTATAGGCATGAACCACTAGTGTTAGGCTCAGAGATTTCTTTATACTTAAGTTGAAAAACACTTACATTTTTTTCTTTGATCAATGGAACCATCTAATGGAAGAGGAATAACAGAAAATAGTACCTTTTTGGTTTCAAATTGTGCTTCCTCCTGACAGCATCCTCTGCAGTCAGGATCCAGCTGAAGGAGGCTGAATTGTCCAAGTAGATCACAAGAGCTGCAGAGCAGGTTGCTAGAGAAGCCTAACTCTCTGCATGCCTCTGATGAGAACTCTGCCCCCAAAGCAGACACCTGAAAATAAAAATGAGCAATAAAGCACAACTCTGTAAGATTTTCAAAAACAATTCTAACACACTGGTGATGAACTATGTAGTGTCATTTGGAGACAAATTCTAAAGTTTTTTTTTTGGTTGGTCATGGGGATTGAACTCTGGGCTTGGGTGCTGTCCTTGCGCTCTTCAGCTAAAGGTGAGCGCTCTACCGCTTGAACCGCAGCGCCCCTTCTGGATTTCTAGTAGTTTATTGGAGATAAGTGAACCTCGATCCTCAGATCTCAGCCTCCTGAGTAGCTAGGATTACAGGCGTGAGCCACTGGTGCCTGGCTCTAAAGTATTTTTGAACTCTATAATCTTACATTAGTCTTTGGTTATTAGGGCCTTAGCCTTTCCTGTTCAAGGCTAATGCTTTACCACTTAAGCCACAGCTTCATTTCTGACTTTTAGCTCGTTAGAAATAAGAATCTCAGACTTTTCTGCTCCAGCAGGATTCAAACCATAACCAACCTCCTGAGTAGGTAGAAGTACAAGTGTGAGCAACTGGTGTCTGACAAGCTTTTTGTAAAAAATATGACATCATTTAGTTTAGTGAATGGATTAACTAAAAACATGTATTATATACCTTTTATCACTCAGTTTAAAAAGGAATTTCCTAATAAGAAAAATTAATTCCCATTTCATTTTAAGGACTTAACACCAGTTTTTATGGCCTACAGATTATCATCAACTTGGTGTAGATATATCCCACAGGGGAAGGGTAGGAAAAGGAATGGGATTAGGGAAGATAGAACATACCAGAAATCAAACTTTTGGTTTTAGGCACTAGTTCAATCCATATATATGATGTATAATCTTAGGCTATCCTCCCTAAGTCATAAATTCTTTATTAATAAAGCAAAGAACAATAGTTTCTACATAAACCAGATGCTGAAATGATTAAATGACGTCTAAAATCAATCTGAATGATTGACAAAAGGCTTCCAAAAACATTAGCCAGGCACCGATGGCTCAGGACTATAGTCCTAGATACTTGGGAGGCTGAAATCTGAGGATCACAATTCATAGCCAGCTCAGGCAGAAAAGTCTATGAATTCTTATCTCGAACTAACCAGCAAAAATTCACATGGGAGGTGTGGTTCCAGTGACAGAATACTAGCCTTGAGCTGAAAAAAGATAAGGGACAGCAAGAGGCCCTGAGTTCAGGCTCTGATTACCAGCACAGAAAATAAAAATACAACAAACCCCAAACCATTACCTTTCCTCCTTTATCCATTCTTCTTTCCCTTCTCAGTGAACAAGGCTTATCTTTATTTGCTGAACGTCAGTCCTGTACCTGCTTTTGATTCTATCATTTCTGTATTTCAGGGATTTAATTTCACTGTATATTCTTATTATGTATTCAAGTCCTATGGTTTTAATTGCTCTTGCTGATTGCCATTTTGCAATGGTTTCTCATTTACCATTTCACTAAATTTGCTAAAAGATGTCAAATGCAAAGACATTGAAACCTGTTTTTCAGCTGTGCCTGCTATAGGTTTGCCCTCGGTTTCTTGTTTTGTCTTCTGTGCATTTCTCTCTCTCTCTCCTCGGTCGGTCATGGGGCTTTAACTCTGGGCCTGGGTGCTGTCCCTCAGCAATTCATCTCAAGGCTACCACTTGAGCCACAGCACCGCTTCGGGTTTTCTGGTGGTTTATTGGAGACAAGAGTCTCACGGACTTTCTTGCCTGAGCTAGCTTTGAACCATGATCCTCACATCTCAGCCTCCTGATTAGCTAGATTACAGGCGTGAGGCACTAGCACCCAGCTCTGTGCATCTCTTAAATGTGGTTGTTTCCCACAGTTCTTATTTTTTACTCTTTTTGATTTACTTTCTGTAGGAAATACTAGCTATGGCCATTACTGAAAGCTTTAAAGTCTTTTTTATTGAGTAGGAAGCTTTCAAAGACAATAGCCTACTTGATTCTGACTTATATATTGCACATGTATTACAAATTCAAAATCTCCTTATATTGAAACTTAGCCTTCTCCCTTAAATCTAGCCCTCCTAATGTATTTAGTATCTTAAAAAAAAATAGCACCGTTTCTGTGACCACCTAGTCTCCCACATACTCTCTTTACTATCCTCACAACTAATTATATTTAATATATTCTCACAATTCTGTCCATTAACGAGCTCTCACACCTTTGTTCCTCAGTGGCTTAAGTAATCCCTGCTGGCATCATTTCTCATTACTTCTCCTCCAATCCCTACCACCTTCTAGATATAAGGATCTTGAAGTTAAAAACTACCACCACCACCACCAAAACCTCTTACTCCTCATACCATTCTCACTAGGATTCTTTTAATCACTTTTTCTACCTATTCCTATTTATTTCTAAGAACCTAATGAGTGCCTTTATTCTAGGAAGCCTTCTCTAAAGGATTCAGATCTCACTTTTAGCCATAGTACTTTTAGTCTCTGAAAAATTGGTGGATAATTACCCCAAACTGCCAATTGTAATACTGACATGTGAATCTAGAGCTTTCTGACTCTCCAATAATACTGTGAACTCTTAAGTTTCATGAGGAAATGGTATTATTTTTAGGCAGTTCTTTCATTGTGTTGCAGATTCAAGGTTTTGAATCAAAGAACATCTAGTACATATGTTTAAGCAACCTCACAAATAAAATTCAAATGCTAAATACATAAGTTCAAAACTATGTTACACCTAGTATTTTATTGCCCCAAATAACTAAACAACATGTAAATATGTACATTAATGCCAAATACTAAATTTCAAAATAATTAGCCATTCTTATATGAGATTCTTAAGTAAGGTCTTGACTGATAACAATTTCACTTTATTTAAAAGCAGAATTAACTAACAGAATCATTCCATACTTTTCCATGACTCTTTTACTTACTCACATATTAGTTGTCTCTTCACTCTAGAAACTTAATCTTCTCCTATAATTCTGAACAAATCTCAAACTGAATACAGATGAGTTCAGAGAATGAACTCTTAACATAATGTATACCAGAAGCACAGTCTAGATATTTTGCTAAGAGCTTGGCATTATTCCTTAACTGAAATGAACAGGTCCTTATCAAATCTCACATGGAAGATGAGTCCCCAGGAGCAGTGTTGATATATGTGGGCGTGTGTGTGGTATTGGGGGTCCTCATGAGTACACTAAGCCATTTTTTATAGGAATGGATGAGCTAGTTGCAGCTGGCTCTTTTTCATGCTGTCACTTCCACTTCCACTTTTTACCATGAGTTGAAACATCATAAGGCCCTCTCCAGAGGTAGTCGCTCTATCCCGGACTTTTCAGATTTTGGAATGTAAGCTGAAATGTCTTGACCTGGTCTCAACTATTGTGTTATAGCAACAAGAAACAAAAAAGGCTAAAACAACCTCTAAACACTGTTACTACCACATTGTACACAACATCCATGATGCCTCACTATTATACCTATCACAAACAAAAACTGCTCGCAATTGAAATGTTATCCTTTGTTTAGAAGACAGAGCAAGATATGAACCTATGAAGAAATGGGGAGGGAAATGGATTGTCTCAGAATTCTAACTGAGGAAATATTATATATGATCTGAAAGGATTGAATGCCACTTAGTTCTGAGGAGTTTTAATAAATAGCTCTCTTAGGTTAAAAAAAAATCTTTAGGTTGTATAGTCTAGTCTGAAGACTCAAGAGAATGAATGAACAAAATATGAGTTAATTCTTGATGACAGGTGTCCTTTTTCCTTCCCTCCTTTTCTTTTTTATAACAATTGCTGGATGTAGACTGAATCCAGGACCCAAGGTTTGCCAGGCAACTGTTCTACTCTTGAGCTACTTCTAGCCCTTTGCTTCTATATTTTATTTTTAAGATGGGACCTTGTTTACTTTTGTTTAAATTGGTCTCAAACTCAAGATCCTTGTACTTTTACCTTCTGAGTAGGTGGGAATACAGACAGAATTAACATATCCTCCAAGTTTTATTCCTTGGAGACAACTGTGAAATCCATGTATGTTTTTTTTTTCTAATTTCTGTTTTTCCATCAGTTCTCTATACTTCTTTTCATTTTTTTTCTCTTTATTGGGAACCCTTCTAATTACAGACGAGATGGGAATAAATAAAAAAATAAGTGTTAGAGTAGTTAAAACAGTTCAATAAGGATAAATGTCCAGACTCTTGTTGTCAGTCTCCTGGCGAGAAGTGTGTGTTAGGACTCCAAATCTCTGGTTAGAGAGAGCTGAAACAATTCCCTATTGTTTGGCTGCCATCTTACTTCCTTATGTCTAGATTCTTCTTTTTTTGTCAGCCATGGGGCTTGAACTCTGGACGTGGGCACTGTCCCTTAGTTCTTCAGCTCAAGGATAGAGCTCTACCATTTGGGCCACAGCGCCACTTCCAGAAGCAATTTATATAGTGAGTGTTCTAAAGCAACTGCAGTGATCTTGATGGGAGATAGCATGAAACAAGACAAAGGAGTAGGAGGCCATTTATACCTTAGTGGGACTTAAATGAACAAATATAAGTGAGGCACAATGAAAAAAACTAAAGGAAAATTATCTTTAGCAACACTCTAATCATCATGGGGCAATGTAAAATATATAGTACAAATAAGTACAAATTATAATAGACTATACACAGGAGAAATTACATCTGACTTAAGGTATGCATTCTAAATACTTCACAGAGAATATAAGAAAATTAAGGACAAGAGTCAATTATTTGCCTTATAGTCAGTTACTGTACTAAGTAACATCACAAATTTAATGGGCAGAGTTTGGTAGAGGTGTATAGAATGTCTGTACATAAGCAAAATAGTAGTTGTAGCTAGGATTTAATTTGATGGGTTATTATTTTGTTAAGATGCTCTGATCTGTGGAGTCACATTTACAAGTAAATGGATAAGCTGATTCCTATCATAGCATATAACATCTGGACTTTAACCTCTCTTCTTCCCACAACTCTCAAACATACCTAAAACTGGAATCACTGACATGTAACAGAGCTATATGAAGTAAATTGTAACAGACTGTTTATAGTAGTTTACAAATAGTACTTCTATAATGTCAGATCATTGCTTGTGGATCCTTAACTCATCTATCAAATATCTTAGGTGACCAGGTATTATAATATGTATGTCACTAGAGAGAAAACAGTAATCAGGAACCGTGACCTGGTTCTCCTTATAGAAAGATCCAATTAACTTAGTAAGAGAATGCAACTTGCAGCAAATTGTAATAGAATGTTTAAAGAACTTGAAAGTAAAACTACTGATCACCAATGTAGTACAGAGCCTCCTAATACCTAGGCTAGTGAGAAGTTTTCTTGAAGAAAGGTGAGAGAGTAAGTAGGTAAGTTGAAGACACATATTGATGGAAGAGTAGGAGAGGATAGGAAGCAGTTGCTAGGTAATAGACACTCCATGGTCTGGTGAGAGATAACAGTATATGAAATATACAAGTGACTCCAGTTTTCCATTTCTACCTTTTTGTTCTCCTAGTAGAGCAAATATTGGGAAATAAGCCTAGACAAGGAAGTGCCTTGTTAAAGAACATTCAGGACAGACTCTACCTTAAAATCAAGAGGAAAAGTACCAATTATGATAGATTTTAGAAAGAACAGTCTCAATGTAAGGTAGAGATTTGATTGGAAAGGGAGAAAATAAAAGAAACTAGTTAGCAAAACTCTTATGGTAATCTCAGGCCAGTTAAGATACTGGCCTGAACTTAAAAGTACTTCATGTGGAAAAGAATCAAACAAATTAGATTTTTTAAGGGTTTAACGGCTGATTCTAAGAGTGAAAGGAAAGAGAATTTAAAAATTTTTTGATTGGGCAACTGGGAAATGAATAGTCAATCATTTGGATCCTAAACACACAGAGATAATTCAAAGGGCAAACTGCAGGAGAGAGATCTGGGGACCAATGAAAAGATTAACAATTTGCCAACAAATTTCAGAGACATTTAGAAAGTAAAACCAGTAAGATTTGGTACCTGGCAAAATGTGACGTACAGTCTACAAGGAAAGGAAGGAGTCAGAGATGCCTTTCAAGTTTCTGACTTGGGATTCTGTGAATGTCCCCGTGGTGCACTGTTCAATGGCCATGAATTCCTCCTATCCTGGCACACACACTTCCTTACATTGTGACACTGTCATTCCTTCCATGTAGAGAGGGAGTCTATTCCCTCATCTTTGAAACATGGACATAGCTTGTGACTTGCTTTGACAAGTACTATATGATGGAAATGACACAGGTGATTTTCAAGGCAAGACCACAAAGCTTAACCTCGTTAAGTTTTTGCTTTCCTGAAGCACTGTCCCAAGACTATTGTGAAGTCTGTAGTCTACTGAAAGCGAGAATTCACAAGAACAACTACGTGGTCAGAGCTACCAACTATAAATGATGATTCTCTTATACTTTGCAATTCAGCTGACTAGCTCCAAAGTTGATAAAGGAGGCCAGAGAAATAGGAGCAATGCTCCCCTGACACACAGAAGGGTGAAAAAAACAAAATTTTTAAGCCACTAAATTATTTTTTTTATTGGGGAGGAAGGTCTATACAGTAACACCAATTTTCAAAGAGTCAAATTAGGGAAAGGCAGCTTGTTAGGGGAGCGATATCCCAGTAATTTCCAGATTTACCAAGTCCCTGAACAACACAACTACATTGGGATATTCATTAGAGACTAAAAAGAAATTGAATTTTGGGCAAGTAGCCAAAAATAAAAAAGGGATACTTTGAAAACTCCTTCAGACATGATTGCACCAGGACTATGGTACTTTTAAGTCCTAACTCCTCCAAACCTTCGATGTATCCATCAAAGTCAAGTCATGTGGGGAGAAAACTTCTGCCATCTCAGCAAAGAACGAAAGAATGAAGCTGGAGCACAGTGCCTCACATGTTACCATTCACACAGCAGAGGAGTTCGTACGTGGCCTACAAACTCCTTATAAGTTAACTTTAGGGAGGGAGGGGAGTCGATCTTCCTGTTTCAAAGATTAAGAGCACAGGGATGTGCTAATGGAGAAAATCGAAATAAAACCAATCAACCAGGAAGGGGGCTAAAGGAACACAGGAATTGCTCGAACGGACCAAAAGCGTGAGGATTTTTTCCTTTAAGATGCAGAGGCCTTGTAGGGATGGGCGCAGGGTGTCTTTCTGCCCAATTTAAAAGAAACCTCCACTCCCTTGCCAGCTTCATGGCCCCCACCCCGCCCCGCCGTGGCGATGAGGGCCGTGCAAGCGACCAGGTCAGCAGACGGCCAGACCCTCAGCCCGAACTACAGCCACGTCGCCCGGCGGCCAGGGCCCGGCCCGGAAGCCCGGTCCCTCCCCCCCCCACCCCCGGTGCGGCTCCCACGCGGGACGCCATCTGCCGGCCTCCTCCTGTCCGGGCCTCCGGGTGGCCGACACTCACCGCCTGAAGCACAGTCGCCAACAACAACCGCAACCCACACGCCGGCCCGAGCCACCCGCCCTGCCCGGCCGCCATCGCTCTCAACTATCGTCAACCTCGGGGATGCGCTGAGGACCCCAGAGCTAAGGGGTGTCCCTTCCAGAGCCTGACTCGAAACAGGACGCCAAAGGCCGCTGCCATCGACTGTGTTATTCAGGAGAGACACACATTAACCAACGGAATGTAAGAACTTCGGGGTGACGGGATGCAAAAACAGTCGTCGGGGGCTTTCAATTACTCAAATCAGGCACTTTCCTAAATTCCCCATTCTTGCGCTTGCTTGAACTCCTTCCTTTCATTCACGACATTTCGTCAGGCAGCCACGAAGCCCCGCCTCCTCCAGTTTCAGCCCTGCCTCTTTCTCTAATTTGAGCCAATCGCATGTCGCTTTGGTTGAGCCCGGTGGAAAAGGAACCCAACCGTAAACCGAACTCTGAGCGGAACGCCTGGGGTTCTTGCAACCAATGAGCAGCACCGACTCGGAGAGGGAGGGGTGGAGCCTGTGGTTGCCGAGCAGCGTACGTAGATGCGCGCGCGTGGTGGCCGCGGGGGATGGGAAAGGGGCGGGGCCGAGGGCGGCGCAGCCGCAGCCGCAGCGCTGGTGGAGGGCGCGCGTCCGCCAGCCGTGGAAGGTGGGAAGGCAGCCGGCGAGGAAGGCGGGCGGGCCGTCGGACGTACTGGGGTCGAGAACTGAAGCAGTTGAGGCAGCCGACGGAGCCCGGCAGCCTCCTCCTCGCGCTGTGTTTGCTGCGCGGGCTCTTGAAGGAGGGGGTGGCAGCTGAGCCGGCCGGGCAGAAGCGGACGCCGGCGGGGTCGGTGCTGGCGCCTGGGGGCGGGGGACCGGAGAGGCGAGAAGGGGGGTCGCTGCGGCGGTGCGCTGCCCGGCGCGTCC